AATAATGGAAACTTTTTATTAAATATTTACGATATACTATATATACATTGATAAACCTCACTTAATAAAAGGTAGCTTATCGATGTCCACTTGAATTGAGTTTAAAGCTAAAATATATATACAGGTGAAAATCTTTTAAATTTAGTTAAAAGTTTAAAAGTTCTGGGTTGTTCCAGTCTTTGTTTTGTCTACAGAATATATAATAAGACGTGCGAATACAAGTAGCAATTATTTTCTTTTTTACATATTTAATACATTGTTCGTCATACTTCAGATCATGGAGCATATCAAATAAAGTATTCGTCGATTCACCAAATACACCTAAAGAGCTTATAGATACATTAACAAACTTAACTTCATCATATATATTTTCTTGATCGGTAATTAGAGTCAAATATTTTTCATGTTTTCGATCTGAGTTAGTTTTCAGGTTTGTTTCGAATCCAACAGTTAATTCTAGAATGTACAAAATCTTATTTTCAATTGTCAATAGAAGGTCTGGTCGTAACTCGTCACCAGTGATGACAGATGGGCTAATAAATCCAGGCAGATTTACATACATTTTGGACCTTCCGACGTCGAAGTTTTGAAGGAAGTTTTAGGAAGTTCGAAGTTTTGAAGGAAGTTAGGAAGTTTTGAATGAACCGATGACCATAGGGAATTGAATGCCAACGTGGAGTTTTTCACGATGTTTGAGAAAAAAGAACCTTGTGAAATTAGGTTATTTTGTAGTCGCTGTTCGTTTTTTTGAGTAAATGTCGTACTGAATGTTCCTATTGGTGCTTGTTATTGACCATAATTCACGTATGTTTTCATTTATCGATGACTTTAAAGCTAAGCGTGAGACAGTTTGGCACTGTATAAACTTCGTTGAAGGTAGAATGACATTTAAACCAAATTTGTTGTACAACTTGTAAGGGAGATAGACATTGCTTAGAGTTGCAGATATTGGCAGTTCGAGCCATTTTCGTATATATTTAGTAGCAATACCGTCCAAAGTCTCGCAAACCCATGTTTGAGATATATCAGTTATTGTGAAGTCCCATGAGATTTTCGAGAGCAAGTAGCGACTGTATAGCAGGATTTTATTTCGGGGGTGCAAATGTAATTCATCTATTTTAGATATGATATTATTAAACAAGTCACATATATCCGATTGGTGTTTTTCATCTGACATGTTGAAATTAAAATAACGACCAAGGTAGCGGAAAGATTCACCAGTTTCGGTACGGGGTACAAGTAGGTGGTTAATAAACAATTTAGGTTGATATTGAACAGATTTAGATGAGTGTTTTTTAATACCGAACGTAGAGCACTTGTCAACACGTATAATCATATTGGCCCATTGACACCATACCGAGAAGCGATTGAGTAGGATTTGATTTTCTTTTTCTTGGCTACTAATGACAGCCGCGTCGTCTGCAAACTGGAACCAATGAATTGGATTACACGGAATACCAGTTTTATTAAATTTCCAAAAACCAAGCTGCAGGAATGATTCAGATTTAATGTGTTGTACGAAGGTATTAAAGGACATATTGAAAAGGAGTGGACTAAGGCAGTCACCTTGTAAAACGCCACGGCCGACGGTAATGAAAGGGGTACTGAATTTTTCAGTTATGATAGATGTTTGGAAGTTAGTATAAAGACTCCGGATTAGTTCATTTATAGGATCGGGTATATGATGATATTGAAGAACTTTGTAAATAAGGTTGTGATGTAGTTCACCGAATGCATTCTTCAGATCGAGTAAAGTGATTACAAGTGACCTTTGTTTTATACGGGCTGTGTTGATTATGTGCGCCATATGGGCTGTATGTTCAACAGTTCCTGCAACGTTTGGGGTAAAACCTTTCTGGATGTCATGTTCTATGTAATTGTTTTCAGATAGGAAAGCGAAAATTTTGTTACGAAGACACGACGTAAAAACTTTGAGCGGAACAGATTCTAGAGTTATTGGTCTGAAGTTAGCGGGATTGTCAGTTTCGTCTTTTTTGTGAATCAATATCGTGCACGCTTTTTTCCATTCTGATGGAACAATACCAGATGACCAGGCAGCATGGATAATTTCAGTTAAATAAGTACGTAGATATGGGCAGCGTTTAAGACAGATAACAGATATTTGGTCGAGAGGGCACGGTGAGCCAGACGGTTTCATCTTTCGAATGACATTTGTAATCTCATTATAGGTCGGAGGGTCAAGATTAAATGGTGTTGTTGGGGAATTAAACTTGGGAATCCAGCTAGGAATGTTGAATGTTTTATTTGGAATAACTGCGGAAAGTGTCTTAGTAAAGTAAGCTGTACATTGGGCAAGACCAAATGTTGGAAACGATTCTGTTTTTTTCTTAAGAAATTTTTTAACGTAACCCCAGAAATTATTATTGAATAACTTGTCGTGATCAATGTTATCTGACACGTTGACATCAGCATGTTGTAGGTCGGTGTTATTTTTACTAAGAAGACAACGCAGCTTTTTAGCAACAAATTTGATTTCTTTCAGATCACCGTTTTTGCACTTTAAATTTTTTAATACTTTTTTAAGCTCCTTAGCCGAACATGACTTATACTTTGATTCAAATTCGTTGTTATTGTTGGCGTCAACAAATCCATAATTATCACTGAAGTAATTGTATATCACTGTTGCCATGGTATTGATACTTTTATTGATTTCTTGGGTTGTGACTGGGTAATTTGAAAGAGTGAGTTGAAAAAAGTCGTTAGCAGTAGACCATTGTAATGGCGATTTTGGCAATTTTATTCCTTTCTTTAAATCAGGAAAGATTTCTTGGGCGTTTAGACTCGGAACTGCATCCTCTGCTGATTGAACATTGTCATCGCATATTTGTTCATTTAAAGCATCAGTCATTTGTTGTTGTAATTCCTCCTCCATGTCATCAATTACTTTACAGCTACGTTGATGCATCTTTAAACCACGAGCGCCTTTACACACTTTACCGCAACAACATTTGACAACTTTATATGAACTGGCTGGTAAACATTCTTGAGTACGAATTTCAACAGCAGGAACTTTATTTTGCTCTGATGTTTGGTCAAACTCAACCTTATTTTTACAGCGCCATGTATGACGGCCCAGTGAAGCAAAGTCCTTTCCACAAAATCCACATATAACCAGAGTTGAAAACAATGCAAGCAAGCTTGCACGAATCATTCTTAAATAATTATATTAATAGAACAATCGTATATTAAATGTAACAATTCAAGTTGAAATTTTTTCATTAAAACAGAGGACATGTACAGACAACGTGTTAACGCGACTGCTCTATGTAATCAATAATAATAATAATAATAATAATAATAATAATAATATTAATAATAATAATAATAATAATAATAATAGTAATAATAATAATAATAATAATAATAATAATAATAATAATAATAATAATAATAATAATAATAATAATAATAATAATAATAATAATAATAATAATAATAATAATAATAATAATAGTAATGGAAACTTTATTTATTGATTATTAGGATATATACAACTACAATGATAAACCTCGCTTTACAGGTAGTTTATCAATGTCTACTTGAATTGATACTATATATTTATTGTACAATAATTATTTTAAGAAGGATTATATAATAATAATAATAATAATAATAATAATGGAAACTTTATTTATTGATTATTAGGATATATACAACTACAATGATAAACCTCGCTTTACAGGTAGTTTATCAATGTCTACTTGAATTGATACTATATATTTATTGTACAATAATTATTTTAAGAAGGATTATATAATAATAATAATAATAATAATAATGGAAACTTTATTTATTGATTATTAGGATATATACAACTACAATGATAAACCTCGCTTTACAGGTAGTTTATTAATGTCTACTTGAATTGATACTATATATTTATTGTACAATAATTATTTTAAGAAGGATTATATTAACATTCATTTTGGGTTATCCCACACCTTGTTTCGTTTACAAAATACATAATATGATGTTCGTATGCATATGTTCACGATTTGCTTTTTTATGTATTTACTATACTTGGCATCACATTTAAGGCTACTTAGCATGCCATCGAAATTTTCACAAGATCGGCCAAAAACTCCGAGGGTACTCAAGGATAAATTGACGAACTTGACTTTATTATAATCTGCTTCCTGCTCATTGATTAGATCACGGTACTTTTGACGCTTACGATTGGCGTTAACTAGCAGATTGGATTCATAACCGACTGTAAGCTCGAGGATGTATAGACATCTGTTTTCAGTCACCAGCAGAAGGTCAGGTCGTAAATGATCTCCCGTGATAACAGATGGATTCATAAAACCAGAAATGTCCGCGTAAAGTGTGGAATTTTTCACAGCAGTAAGAGTGGATGCGAGGAAATTTAAAACAGAATCGTGTCGCCATGTAAACCGGCCTTCGTCTAAATATGTCTTACATCCAGCAATCACATGGAGCAGCGTTTCGGGTGAGGAGCAGAAAGAGCAATCGGATGTTGATGATAGTCCCCATTTTGATAGGTTCTTTCGTGTTGGAAGTGTGTTATTGATATATCGGATGGTGAAGTTAAAAATGTTTTTCGGAAGTTTGCTCTGAACGGATGACCATAAAGAGTTGAATGTGGATGTGGAATGATTCATGATACTGGAAAAGAAAGAACCTTGCGAAATGAGGTGGTTTTGAAGTCTTTGTTCGTTTTCTTTTCTAACTGCCTTAAGTACGTCTTTTGTGTCTTTGTAAATGTCATACTGTATGTTCTTGTTGGTGCTCGTCACCGCCCATAGATTGTTAATATCTACGTTTGGTGAGTATTTTATTATAATAATAATAATAATAATAATAATAATAATAATAATAATAATAATAATAATAATAATAATAATAATAATAATAATGAAAACTTTATTGAATTTCTTACGTCTATATACAATTGTAAATCTCGCTACTGACTTAGGTAATTTACAATTGGCTAAATGAATCACAGAGTACTGCATATGTACTATTTACAGTAAAAACAAGAATAAAATGGGTATATGATGATATATATTATTATATGTAGTTATTAATTTAAATGTTTAACAATTCAGGGTTTGTCCACTCTTTGTTACGACAACAAAAAATATAGTACGTCGCTCTAATGGCATAAGACGTCATCTTTTTTATGCAGTAATGTTGCTGCTTTTTATCCATTCCTATAGTGTGTAACATTTCTAAAAAGGCATTCTTTGAAGCATTCTTTGTCAAACACACCGAGAGAGCTCATTGATAAAGTTTACTAATTTAACAGAACTAAAGTGACCCCTTTGATCTTCAATTAGGTCTTTATATTTAGCTTTTTTGCGTTTAACATTATTATGTAGGTTAGATTCAAACCCGACAGTAATTTCAACGACATAAAGATCTTCATTTGGAGTAATTAGGAGTAAGTCCGGTCGATATATGTCACCAGTTATAATTGACGGGCTTTTGTAGCCAGGTAGGTCAGCATAAAGTCGACATGGATTTATTGCTTGAAACGTTTCAGCAAGAAAGTTTAAAATAGAATCATGTCTCCAAGTAAAGCGCTGAAGGTACGATTGGCAACCGGCTACAACGTGTAGTAGGGTTTCAGGACACAAGCAAAAAGAACATTCGGGACTTGAAGCTAAATCCCATCTTGTAAGATTTTTTCGCGTAGGAAGAGAGCTATTTATGTAACGGACGGTGAAGTTGAAAAATTTCTTTGGCAGTTTTGATTGAGCGGCAGACCAAAGTGTGTTTAACTGTGAAAGGGAAAACTTAGCAACATTCGAGAAAAATGAACCTTGACAAATTAAGCGGTGCTGAAGCTTGTCTTCTTGTCCAGAATGAAAATCCTTAAGAACTTCCTTTGTTGAATTATATATGTCATATTGCATGAATATTAGTGTGATTGTTAGTTGATTTCCAGAGTTCTTTGATGGAATCATTTGGGGATGTTTTTAAGGCATTGCGTAGGACAGTTTGACATTGGATAAATTTGACGGATGCAGGGAGGATATTCAGACCAAATTTGTTATGGGTTAGATAAATATTACTTAATGTTCCAGAAATGGGTGTTTCAAGCCGCTTTCTGATGTATTGATTAATCACAGAATCGATTGTTTCCGTTACCCAGGTTTTCGACAGGGGTGCAACAGTGAGATGCCAGGATATTTTGGATAGAACGTAACGGTTGTATAGAAGAAGTTTGTTTTTTTGGGTGTAGATGTTTATGGTCGATATCAGACATTAGTTCATCAATGAGGGACATTAGTTCAGATTTGTGGTCGTGGTCGGACATATCAAAATCAAAGAATCTTCCTAGATACTTAAAAGATTCTCCCATTTCAATAGTTGGTATGAGACCATTGTTAATTAGTAGTTTCGGTAAGTACTGAACGGATTTTGTCAAAACTTTCTTGATGCCAAAGGTGCTACATTTATCAACTCTGATTATCATGTTCGACCATTGACACCAGATTGTGAATCGGTTTAAGAGGTGTTGGTTTTCATAATCTTGGCCAGTGATAACAGCCGCGTCATCAGCGAATTGAAACCAGTGAGTGGGATTGAGGAAGTTAAACATGAAACCAAATTGACGGTACTTGTCAGCTTTTATGTGCCGAATGAAAGTATTAAAGCACATGTTGAACAGCAGAGGGCTCAGACAATCGCTTTGTAGCACACCACGGCCAACAGTTATAAACGGAGTGCGGAATTCAGAAGTTATCACGGAAGTTTTAAAATCAGTATATATACTTTTGATAACATTTTTGATGTGGTCAGGAATATGATGGTATTCAAGTATAGATTGAATTAAGTTGTGATGAACTTCACCAAAAGCGTTTTTAAGGTCAAGGAGAGTGATGACAATAGATCGTTGTTTAATCCGTGCTTTGTTTATAATATTGGCCATTTGAGCAGTGTGCTCTATAGTACCTGAAAGATTTGGTGTGAAGCCCTTTTGTATGTTATGTTCAATATAATTATTAGCGGCGAGGAAGGAATACAGTGAATTACGGAGACAGGATGTAAATACTTTCAAAGGGATTGATTCAAGTGTAATGGGTCGGAAATTAGAGGGATCGTTAGCTCGCCTTTTTTTATGAATAAGAATGGTACAAGCTCTTTTCCATTCAGCAGGGATGGTACCAGATAACCAGACAGCCCGTATAAGTTCAGTAAGAAAAGTTCTAAGGTAAGGACACCGTTTAAAACATATTATTGAGAGCTGATCAAGAGGGCAAGGAGAACCAGATGCTTTCATTTTACGTATTACAGCTGTAATTTGTTGATAGGTTGGGGGGTCAAGGTCAAATTGAATTTGAGGATTACATAACTTAGGAATCCAACTTGGAATTTGAAATAATTTAGTCGGATGAATTTCTCCCAGTATTTTCTTGAAGTAATTGAGGCATTCTGGCATGCTGAAGGACGGTAATACTGTCCGTTTTGTTTTAAGCACGTTTTTCACATAACCCCAGAAATTGCGCTCAAGATATTTATCGTGATTAAATGACTCGTCATGGTTTGGGTCTGTCTGAGTGTTCTTGTTATTGTCACGCAGCTTATCGCGCAAAGCACGCGAAACATACTTTATTTCTGTGATGTCAGAGTTTGTCGATTTTAAATTTCGTAGAGCCTTTTTCAGATTTTTAACAGTATGATCTTTATATTTATTGATTAAGTTTTTATCAGGAATCGTTTCTGTATGTCCAAAGTTATCGGCAAAGTAATTATATATCGAGTCATTTAATACTTGTATACTTGTATTCAAGTCTTGTGATTTGATTGGTCCATTTAAAAGTAGAGCAGATTTAAAATGTTCGTTAGCCGTTGACCATTCTGAATCTCTCTTCGGCAGCTTTATACCTTTCTTAAGAACTGGACTTGTTTCATTTTCAGTCGTAGTTAAATTTGTAGCAACTTCATCATCCGCAAGAACTCCTTCTGTGTTGTCATCCGCATTCTGCTCTTCAAGATCTGCACATAGCTCGTTGTTAAGCCCATGTATAACGCGACAACTACGCTGGTGCATCTTGAGACCCCGAGTCCCTTTACAAATTTTTCCACAGGCTTGAAATAAGAACTGTAGGTGAATTCACGACAGGCACTTCCCTTGTTATTGGTCTTTCCGAATCACTTTGTTCTGCTTGATTAACTCGTTGTTTACAACGCCACTAGTGTCGACCAAGCGTAACAAAATCTTTACCACAGAATGAACAGACAGCGCACACCAGCAACATAGCAATAAAACTTGTTCGAATCATGGTTAAACACCTTTATATTGAATTTTTGAACATATACGATGTGATTCATGTAAGAAATGAACGATAAAACTAGAGACATGTACAGAGCGCGTCCGGCTCTGCTCGATGTCGATGTAATAATAATAATAATAATAATAATAATAATAATAATAATAATAATAATAATAATAATAATAATAATAATAATAATAATAATAATAATAATAATATTAATAATAATAATAATAATAATAATAATAATAATAATAATAATAATAATAATAATAATAATAATAATAATGTAAACACATTTTATTTCATTTCATACAAATATTAGTAACCAGCTCTCACTAAAGTATTATAGGCAACCTGGCTACATTATGGTACAAAAGATTAAGAAAAGAATACAATGTTAAACTAAGCTTAAAATATTTACAGATCATCAAAATGGAATTTCTACAGAAATGCTATTACAATGGTTATTTTAAAAATACGTTCGTAAGGTAACAACATAGACAGTGTCAAATAAGATAACTGTACATACGCACGACAGCATGAATCCTACCAATATAAAAGTTCAGGGCAAGACCATTGTCTGTTTCTAGAGCAAAATATATAATAACTTGTCCTTATGCAGCAGCCGGTTAGTTTTCTAATGATGAATTTTCTTTGCATATCGCTTAATCTTACTTCGCGGTCCAAAAAGTCATAGAACTGTTTACATTCATGACTTAAAACTCCAATCTCGCCCATGCATAAGTTAAAATACGTTACTTTGTTAAATCGTTCTCTTAAAAAGTTACAAAGATCCTTGTATCGTTCCCTTTTCCTTAAACAGTTTTTTGCCATATTAGTTTTAAAGCCGATTGTCAATTCAATAACATATATATTTTGGTTGTTGTGTGATATTACCAAGTCTGGTCGGTCATTACAGCCTGTGATCACAGATGGATTATCAAAACCAGAAATGTCTGCATAAACGTGAAAGTCCCTTCTGACACTAGATATGTACGTTGCTAGGTGTTTCAGCACTGAATTGTGTCTCCATGTGTATCGACCTTCGTCCAGGGATGTTTTGCAAGAAGACACTATATGTTGTAGTGTTTGCACATTCAAGCAGAAATGACACAGATTATTTTGAGCTTTCTTCCACAAAACCATGTTTGTTAATGTAGGTAGGGTGTTATTTAAATATCTAGTTACGAAGTTGTATATGTTTTTAGGGAGTTTGTCAACTGCCGAGTGCCAATCTTTCGCTGTACCCTGGAAAGCATCTCTCCAAATCGACTTAATTATAAGACTCTGCGACGTTAGCTTGCTTTCAATATTAAAGATCTTATCTTTCCTAATTTCTTTGGCAACCTGTTTTGCGGTGGAGAAACCATCGTACTGCACATTACAGTTTGAGCTAGATGCGTAGAAAAGGTTTTGGGTGTCTAGACAACTCGAGTCTTTTAATTTATTTCGCAAAATTACTTGACATTCAGTGAATTTTGTTGATACATCAATGATGTCGAAACCGAATTTGGATTTCCCAAGAAGCAATATGTCAAGGGTGCCGTTTGGTGGTATCTCAAGCCATGCCCGAAATTTATTGTGGCACATTGTGTCTAAAGTTTGCTTTATCCATGTTCTATCAATGTCTGCAATAGTGAGATGCCAAGATATTTTCGGGAGCAGATATTTCATATATAACTCAAGCTTAAATTTTGAGTGTAGAGGGAGACGATCGATTTTTTCTAAGATGCTACTAGTCTCAGACAGCAAGAACTGTTTATGTTCTACGTTATCCATCGGGAAGTTGTAAAATCTACCGAGATAACAAAAGCTTTCGTTCCCCTTTACCGCTGTAATTAAGCCGTGGTTAACGTAAATTTTCGGAAAATACTGCTTGGATAATGTGTTCCTTTTGATAATTCCGAATGACTTGCATTTGTCGACTCTTAGCGTCATTTTTGCCCAATTACACCACATGGTGAATGCATTCAGTAATATTTGTGTCTCGTACTCCTCACCTGTTGTTATCACCGCGTCATCGGCAAATTGAAACCAATGTTTGGGGGTTAGAAACGGCTGCCCAGCATTAAATCCGAGTTGACAAAACTGATCCGTTTTAATGTATTGAATAAACGTATTCATTACCATGTTGAACAACAACGGGCTCAAACAATCTCCTTGTAGCACTCCTTTACTGACTTTAAGGAACGGTGTTAGATATTTTTCCGTAACCACTACGGTATGGAAGTCAGTATAGAGGTTTGCAATACAATTTTGAAAATGCTCGGGGATTTGATGATATTTTAGTACTGTTTGAATCAGCTTATGGTGGACTTCGCCGAATGCATTTCTTAAGTCAAGTAGTGCTATTGTTAGAGATCTTTGTTGTTTTTTCGCTCGTCTAATTAAGTATGCTAAATGGGCCGTATGTTCAAACGTGCCGGACATTCCCGGAGTAAATCCTTTTTGAATCCTATTTTCAATATAATTGTTTTTTGATAGAAACTCATACATGGCATTCCGTATTGTTGATGTAAAAATTTTGAGAGGCACTGATTGCAGGGTAATTGGTCTAAAGTTTTGAGGATCGTCAGTTGATTCTTTTTTGTGAATAAGAATTGATGCAGCTCTTCTCCAAGTGTCAGGAATTTGGCCCGATTTCCATACCGTTTGAATGATTGTTGTCAAGTAAGATCTAAGGTATGCAGATTTTTTAAAGGGAATAATTGAGAGCTGATCAAGCGGGCACGCAGAGCTACCTGTTTTCATTCTTTTGATGATAGCCGTAATTTTAGCATAAGTTGGAGGTGTAGAATTAAATTCGTGTACAGGTGCTGAAAGTCTCGGTAACCAATTTGGTAGGGAAAAAACATGAGATGGACATGCGTTCATCCAAATGTTTTTAAAGTAATTAGTGCAAGTTGCCAAATCGAACGTTGGTATCAGATAGTCAGCGCTATCTAAATGCGATTTGGCATAAGCCCAGAAATTTTTCTTGATTTCCTCGTCGTGATTAATAGATTTAGCATTATCATGGCCTTTATTCTGAGTTAATTTCCTTAGTAATCTTGACACGTACTGAATATTCTCTACATCAACAGGTGACTGGCGTTTTAATGCTTTCAGTTCTCGTTTTAGCTCTTGTTTTGAGTAACTAGCATACTTAGTATGATATTCAGAGTTGGAATCCTTGCACTTGTTCACCGTACCGAAGTTTTCTACAAAGTAATCATATACCAAATTCGTCATTTTGTCAACACAATCGTTCACCGAACATTCGCTAACCTCGAATATAGGCAGCTCGGCTCTAAAATAAAGATCCGCCTCCTTCCATTCATGTTCAGTTTTTGGAAGTTTAACGCCCGGCTTTAAAATAGGCGTGCCATTAAATATATCTTCGTCAACATCACTTATTTGATCGTGTTCGTTTGTGATTTCTCCCTCATGTGGCAATAGCAAATCAGAGCACATACCTTTGATGAAGCGACATGATCTTTGATGACCCTTCAAGCCTCGCAAACCTTTACATTTCTTGCCGCAACAACATTTAACATAGTCGACGTTTGAAATACGACCTTGGTTTCTCAACGCAGCATCATCCATCTCAGCAGTACTTTGAGTCAAATCATGATTGTTTGTGACAAGTGTTGGGCCTTCGTTCCTTTCGTTCACATTCTCACGAAGCCGTTCTTTACAGCGCCATTGATGTCGGCCAAGAGACTTAAAATCACGATTACAGTAGGAACAGACAACGAGCAAGAAGAACCAAAATATTAAAGTTTTCATGCTTTATCAGTGTAGTAAACGTACGAACGATAGACACATAGAAATAATCAAAATAAATCTTTGCACCGATTAAAATCGTTAAAACGTTAATGATCTGCAGGAGCTCGACTAGAAACGTCTGACTCCCTCGAGATCATGAAAGTAAAGGTAATAATAATAATAAGTAAATAATAATAATAATAATAATAGTAATAATAATAATAATAATAATAATAATAATAATAATAATAATAATAATAATAATAATAATAATAATAATAATAATAATAATAATAATAATAACAATTTAATAATATTTATCAACTTTACTTTCCTGACATTGTGGAAATAAACAATGGTCAGGAAAGTAAAGTTGATAAAGTGATACCAGATGCGGATGAAAGTATAAAGTTCTGGAGCGAAATATGGGACAACGGAATTGAACATAATAAGGATTCTGAATGGCTACAAGAAGTGAAACAGGGAATCGGATATTTGAACCAAAACGATTTGAAGATAAATAAGGAAGATATTACAAAGCAGTGTAAGAAGATCCCCAATTGGAAAGCGCCAGCACTAGATGGAGTACAGGGTTATTGGATAAAGAAAATTACTTCTTGTCATCAAAGAACTGCAGAACAGTTAGATGAGATTTTAAATGGTAAGGCTGAATTACCTCAATGGATCACATATGGTAGGACAGTGTTGTGCTTAAAAGACCCATCAAGGGGTAATGCAGTTGATAACTTTTGACCCATATCTTGCTTACCATTGATGTGGAAATTGATGACAGGTGTTATTGCCGAAAGTATGTAACTTTTCTGGAGATGAGTGATGTACTACCGAATGAACAAAAAGGATGTAGAAGAAAGATTAGAGGAACAAAAGGCCAATTGTTAATTGATAAGTTAGTTTTAAGAGATTGTAAAAGAAGACATACAAATTAATCGATGGCCTGGATAGACTATCGTAAGGCATATGATATGGTACCTCATTCCTGGATAGTGGAATGTATGAGTATGTTCAAAATCGCAGCAGATGTGAGAACGTTTGTGGAAGGTAGTATGGAGAACTGGAAAACGGAGTTAACATCTTCGGGAGAAAGCCTAGGAAATGTGAATATAAGACGAGGTATTTTTCAAGGAGATAGTTTATCTCCTTTGATATTTGTGATGTGCATGATACCATTAAGCTTGATACTGAGAAAGGAAAAGGTAGGGTATGAATTTCCCGGAAAAGAACTCAAAATCAACCATCTTCTATTCATGGATGATCTGAAGATGTTTGGAAAGAACAAGCAGCAAATAGACTCACTGGTGAAAACTGTCAATATTGTTAGCAAAGGCATTGGAATGGAATTTGGGATAAAGAAATGTGGAATGCTTGTAATGAAAAGAGGAAAGATTGTGGAATGTAATGGAATACAGCTACCTGATGAGGAAACAATAAAGTCCGTAGAAGAAGATGGATATAATTTTCTTGGTATACTGGAATTAGATAAAATTATGGAGGGTGAAATGAAGAGAAAGTTTGTAAAGGAATACGGGAGGAGATTAAGACTGGTGCTGAAATCAAAACTGAATGGCAGAAACAAAATCATGTCGATGAACACTTGGGCTGTTGCGCTGCTGAGGTACGGAGCTGGTGTTTTGAACTGGACAAAAGATGAAATTGCTGCAATGGATCGCAAAACACGTAAACTGATGACACTGTATGGTGCTCTTCACCCAAGAAGCGATATTCATCGATTATATTTACTGAGAGAAAAGGGCGGAAGAGGTTTGATCAGTTGTGAATGATGCATTCGTACAGAGGAGAACAGTTTGGTATGGTATGTAAAGAACAGTGTGGAACCACTTTTACAACAAGTTGCAAAGACAGGTGTGATTGAAACGGAAAGATGCGAAACAAAAGAAAATTTTAAGAAGAAAGCAGTAGAGGAGCTAGAGAAAGCCTGGATTGATAAGAAAATGTATGGACAATATAACAGAGATTTAGGTAAAGAAGTGGATAGGAAGAATACATGGTGGTGGCTGAAGAAAGGAGACTTGAAACCTGAGACTGAAGCACTTCTGTGTGCTGCACAAGAACAAGCTCTAAGGACAAATTACGTAAAGTTTCACATAGATAGAACTGTTGAGTCTCCCCTCTGTAGACTTTGTGGGGAAAAGGGAGAGCATATAACACACTTGATAAGTGAATGCAAGAAGCTAGCACAAAAAGAATACAAACGAAGACATGACAATGTGGCTCGCATTGTACACTGGAAGCTATGTGGTTTGTACCAACTAGAGAAAGCTGAAAATGGTATGAACACCAACCAAACGGAGTAATTGAATCAGATAATGTAAAGATTCTCTGGGATTTTAACATACAGTGCGATCATGTGATTGAATGTCGAAGACCTGATATTGTAGTGGTTTTAAAGAAGGAAAAGGAATGCAAGATCATCGACATCGCAGTTCCATGGGACTGTAGAATTGATATAAAAGAAACAGAGAAGGTAGAAAAGTATGAGCAGTTGAAAAGGGAAATTCGGAAAATATTGGCAATGAACAAATAGAAGTCATTCTAATAGTTGTAGGTGCCTTAGGAGCAGTTAGTAATAAACTGGATAAGTGGATTGAGTAATTGGGAATACATATAAGAATAGAACTTCTACAAAAAACAGCATTGTTAGGGACGGCAAGAATACTGAGAAGAAGCTTGGAAAGCTAAAATCTTTGGGACCTGAGGCTACTGGTTGTAGCCAGCTTCCAAGGAAAAACATAGCCAGCATAAGAACAAAGCTGTGAAAAACATGTAATAATAATAATAATAATAATAATAATAGTAATAATAATAATAATAACAATAATAATAATAATAATAATCGAAACTTTATTTATTTCATAATATACCATAAAACTATATTTACATTGATAAACCTCGCTCATAAAGGTAGTTTATCGATGACTACTTGAAAACATGTGGGTTATATAAATGTACAAAAATTGGAAATTTAATATTGTTCAAAATTTTAGAAGCTCTGGGCTAGTCCAGTCTTTGTTTCGCTGACAGAATACATAATATGATGTGCGAATACAAATAGCAATGATTTTCTTTTTAATGTATTTAATTTGTTGTTTATCGAACTTCAGTTCCTTGAGCATATCTGTTAAGGTGTTCGTCGATTTACCAAAAACGCTTAGCGAGCTTATGGATACATTAACAAATTTTACCTTATCATAGTTACTTTCTTGATCTGAAATAAGCGACAGGTATTTTTTATGTTTTCGATCTGAGTTAGAGTTAAGATTTGTTTCAAAGCCAACAGTCAGTTCCAAAACATATAAAACTTTATTTTCAATTGCTAAGAGAAGGTCTGGACGTAACTGATCACCAGTGATAACTGACGGAGTAATAAAGCCAGGCAAATCTACGTAGAGTTTGGATCGCTCGGCACTCATAAGGCTGGATGCAATGAAGTTCAGGACTGAATTATGCCGCCACGTAAATAGCCCTTCATCTAGATATGCTTTACAACCAGAGATGACGTGCAGGAGTGACTCAGGAGAGGCATGGGTGTACCGAAAGGAAAAAATTAGGGGGGCAGATAGAAATTTGCCCGACTTTTCGGGATTCCATTTATTTTTATAACAAACCAAAATTGCCCGACTGTTCATCGAATATTGCCCAACTGCCCAAAAAACTGGGGTGGGGCTACCGCCCCCTCCCCCCCCCCCCGAAAGAAAGAACCTTGTGAGATAAGGTGGTTTTGTAGTCTCTGTTCATTTTCATTCCTAAAGGCTTTCAAGACATCCTTCGTATTTTTATATATATCATACTGAATATTCTTGTTCGTGCTTGTTATTGCCCATAATTTGTTGATGTCTTCGTTTATAGACGCTTTTAAAGTTGAACGAGTTGAAAAGTTGAGTTGTTGTTTGTTTTGTTTTTTTGTTTTTTTTTATTTTTATAATAATAATAATAATAATAATAATCATAATAATAATAATAATAATAATAATAATAATAATAATAATAATAATAATAATAATAATAATAATAATAATAATAATAATAATAATAATGGAAACTTTATTAAAATTATATACGTATATATACAATTATAAATCTCACTAATTTAGGTAATTTATAATTGACTACTTGAACCTACTTAATATTTATATATTAATAATGAGTATCCTTAAATGTTCAGTAATTCCGGATTTAACCAGTCCTTATCTCTGCAACAAAATATATAATATGTTGTCCTAATCGCGATAGACATAATTTTCCTGATAGCGAAATATTGGTGTCTTTTATCAAGACCTAGATCAGTTAACATATCTAAAAAGGAATGACATTCTTTTGAGAAAACGCCTAAAGAACTAATTGACAAATTTACAAATTTTACGGATTTAAATTGTTTCTTTTGCTGTGTAATGAGATCTTCGTATCTTCTTCTTTTCCGATCAACATTTGTTTGTAGATTAGACTCATAGCCAACAGAAAGTTCAAGGATATAGAGACAATCCGAGTTGATAGATAGAAGTAGGTCTGGGCGGAATGTGTCACCAGTTACAATTGATGGGCTTTTATAACCAGGAAGATCGACGAAAAGATTGGAGTTGTTTACAGGTTGTAGCGTTTGTGCTATGAAGTTCAGAACAGAATCATGTCTCCATGTAAATCGTGGGAGGTACGTTTGACATCCAGCAACTACGTGTAAAAGGGTTTCAGGGTTTAAGCAGAAGGAGCAATCAGAGTTGGACAATATTCCCCATTTAGTAAGGTTTTTACGAGTTGGAAGTGAGTTATTGATGTAACGAATGGTGAAGTTATAGATGTTCTTTGGGAGGTTTGATTGGGATTTAGACCATATACCGTTTAATTTCGACAGTGAAAACTTAATGACATTTGAGAAGAAGGAGCCTTGCAAAATCAGATGATTCTACAGTTTGTCTTCTTGTCCGGAGGTAAAAGTTTTAAGGACTTCCTTTGTCGAGGTGTAGACGTCGTACTGAATGTTTTTGCTTTCAGATGTTATTTTCCAGAGGTCTTTTATGGAATGATTTGGAGAGGTCTTTAAGGCGTTACGAGCAACTGTTTGGCACTGAACAAACTTAATTGACGGCGGGTAGATATTTAGACCAAACTTGTTACTGGTAAGGTAGACGTTAGATAGAGTTCCTGATATAGGTATTTCAAGCCATTTACGTACGTACTTGTTCACCACAGAATCCATATTTTCAGAGACCCAGGTTTTTGATAAGGTGGTTACAGTGAAATGCCAGGAAAGTTTGGATAGAAGGTAAATAATAATAATAATAATAATAATGATAATAATAATAATAATAATAATAATAATAATAATAATAATAATAATAATAATGGAATCTTTTTATTAGATATTTAGGATATACTATATATACATTGATAAACCTCACTTAATAAAAGGTAGCTTATCGATGTCCACTTGAATTGAATATAAAACTAAAATATATATACAGGTAAAAATCTTTTAAATTTAGTTAAAAGTTTAAAAGTTCCGGGTTGTTCCAGTCTTTGTTTCGTCTACAGAATATATAATAAGACGTGCGAATACAAGTAGCAATTATTTTCTTTTTTACATATTTAATACGTTGTTCGTCGTACTTCAGATCATGGAGCATATCAAATAAAGTATTCGTCGATTCACCAAATACACCTAAAGAGCTTATAGATACATTAACAAACTTCACTTCATCATATACGTTTTCTTGATCGGTAATTAGAGTCAAATATTTTTCATGTTTTCGATCTGAGTTAGTTTTTAGGTTTGTTTCGAATCCAACAGTTAATTCTAGAATGTACAAAATCTTATTTTCAACTGACAATAGAAGGTCTGGTCGTAACTCGTCGCCAGTGATGACAGATAAACTCGAAAACTCTCCAAAAACTCTCCAAAAAGACAGTCTATAAGCGGTCGTTTCCAGGTAAAAGAGTCGAAGAAATACATGATGAAATAGACAATATACAAATGAACGATGAACTATCATATGTAATTATTCATGTAGGTACGAATAATCTATCATCCGAAAGCGTAGACTCATGTGTTCGAAAAATACAAAAGCTGGCTTTGAAGACTCGCAGAAAATTTCAAAATTCAAAGATTGGCATCTCCAGCATTATACATAGAGATGATATCAATGTGTCGGCAAAGTTATCTGCAGTCAATGGAAAGTTAAAGGAGATGGCTAACAATGATGACTTTGTTTTTATTGACAATTCGCGTATTGATGGAACATGCCTCAACGGCAGCAAACTACATTTGAACGCAAAGGGATCGGCTTATTTAGCCAATAATTTTATAAAATTTATTAGGCCATTGGGAAAACGAGCGAAGCTGCAAATGGGTTTTTTAAACCCAATACATCAGCTGGGACAACTACTAACCCAGCTAACAACCTAACCAACGACAATTCCACTATACAAGAAACCTCGCCGTTAGATGTTGG